CTCTTAAGTTGTACACATCAGGTCGAGACAGACCAGTGCTTCCTTAGGCGCTGAGGACAGCGCCTGCCAACAGGGGGATAATGTAACAGATCCGAAGATGACCTTCAAATGGGAGTTCAAGTAGGATTGAGGCGATAGGAATATCCTGTGTTCCTTTTCAAGGGGTCGTTTAACGAGGAGTCGATGAAGGGCTTTGAAAGGTAGGTGGACCTAAAACGAAGGCCGTATCACACCCTGACCAGTCAGTTGTTGCCCTTTTCTCCTGTTCCAGCAGTCCCTGATGTGTCAGTTACGTGAAATGAGAAAAACAGTTAGATTGGAAAACAAGAGGAGGAACATAGCTACTTAATTATTATACTGAGGAATTAAAAAAAGATAAACTGAAAGCTGAAGGTGAGTCATTTATGGAAGATTTCGTACCAACATGTGTTGCCATGTAAGGGCATCGAGCTGCCGCGAAAATCCTAAACCGTAGGTTCCATAACCACGTGATCTGGAAACGAGTTCCAGCGTTCTATAACGGCGCGACAAATGATTCTCCATTTTAATCCGACCAGGGCGCGGTTTGTACCGTTTCAACGGGTGACCGTGGAGACTAGGTAACTTAGAGCGACTAAATAACCAAGACATGTCTGTGCCGATCATTCCCGTCTACATACGGTAAGTGAGAATCAAGTCCCTCTAATTTTACGGTAGCGTATCGAGTACATCACCAAACTAATCAAGCGTTCGGGATACGTCTGTCCCCGTAGATTTTGCACCAACCTAGTACCTGTTGTACCCCAGTACGCACACTAGACCCCTGTGCAAGCATGGTCTTGAATCTCTTCGGCCAAACCCAGTAACGAAAGTAGAACTAGGGGCGGACACGCTCTGGACACTATTCAAAAGTTTCAGCTAAGGTACAGGCGTAATGATCTTGATATTGATCCATCGATGACTCTCATCCAATCATTTGCAGGCTGCGGTGCATGGCGGGACAGACATGACTGGAAGTTGCGGTAGGAGCTACAACATTACCCAATCATAAAATCCTCCCCAAATCCACTTTGTCTCGGATAAAACACAGTGGACAAGGCTAAATACTGTATTTCAACTGGTGTCGCCCGGATGCCGTGAATAATTTCGTAAACATATCAGCCGTTAAGATTCTGAAGGATCGGCAAATAAACCCTTGGCAGAGCTGTACGCTATCGGGCGCGTCCCCAGGTTGCGGATTGGCCAATGCCTTCCTTGTTAACTGCGAATAAGTCTCGTTTGCCTTGAAGGTGAGAAAAATAAGCAGTTGCGGACAGTCAGCGGCAGCGTCTCAGAGCGTGGAGAGTTCTGTGCTGGTCACCTGGTTCTCCATCATATACCACAAGAGCTCGTACGACGCTGTGTCAAAGTCAATGTGACCGGCTATAAGGTCACTGACCACTCACTTCTGTAACCAGAGGTGAGTATATAACGGAGAGCGAATGAACAACATTGCTGGCCACCGGCTTCTCTATGCACTGTTACTGAACACAACGAACGCGAAGGAGCGCCCGGATGTCAGCGGTCTTCCTTAATCGCCCCCGCTGCTTTGCTGGTTAGGTCTTAAGACTAAAGGCTCTGGGTGGGGTCCCTTAAGTCAACCCTCTTCCTCCGCCTGGGCAACCGGGAAGATCTCTGCCCACACAATACATTACCATTATAAACTTTACAAATTATTACACTGACTATCCGTTTTTCCCTCTTTTTTGTTGTTAACTATGTCTTGTGGCACTGCCAATTGTATATTGGTCAGGTGTTGTATAATACTACTACTACTACTGCTAATAATAATAATAATAATACGGGTTCTTACAAGCAGTCTTCTTACAATTGTCGCCTGATTGAAGGGCTGCTGAGTGCACGACACCTAGATCAACCCGCTTAGTGATAACAAGGATTTCGCCATCGCTGACAACATATCGTTTGGGAGGACTAGCAGCTCCCACTCGGAAAATCGAACACTTGGCCCGGTTTATGGGCATTAACCCTAAGACAGCCCATTCCCAGAGCCTATCCAATGCACTTCGAATTTCCTCGGAACCCCCTTAGATATCTACGATGCTCCAGAGCTTAAGATTGCCAGCAAACATTAGCGACGACACTCCGAGCTCTCCAGGCAAGTCCTTTACGTAAATCCCGAACAGCAATGGCCCCAATACAGAGCCCTGCGGAACGCCACTAAGAACAGTGCCTAAGCGAGAGGCTACACCCCAGGCGTATATACTATTCCCTCCCCTCCCGGAAAACAAAATCCATTTAAGGGCGTGACCAGTTGCCCCTTAAGGCCTCAACTGTCGTGCGAGTCTAAGATGAGGAACTGTCAAAGGCTTTCGAAAGTCTACGAATGTCACGTATATTACGTGACCATTGTCTGCCGTATCGGCCCAGCTTTCCCGAGTCACACGTATATTAGTCTGACACGAAAATCTCTTACGGAATCCGTGATGCGCAGCACCGCGAAGGTTAAATTTGGTCAGGTGGTTCTCCACCGACCCCTTTACCAGTTTTTCAAACAACATGAGAACTACACTTGTCAAACTTACAGGTCGCCGAGTTGCACGAAAGGTCAGTCCAACAGAATTCAATGAGGTTGAAATTCCATAGAACTGGGTATCTATTAGCGCAGTGAGTGCGAATAAAGTCTTTACTCTCCCTGGGGGTAATTCCAGTACTCTTGTATGCCATTATAAGTGCAAACTGGACAGAGAACGTACACATGGCGGCGCAACATAACAATTTCATCAGACTGAGATGTGCAGATCCTCAGCACATCTAATTTACAGCTCATATAAGGCACAACTCTTCCGCCTTGATGACCAAGGGAGCGATTAGTTCTAGATAGTGCAGCTTGTGACCTTAAGGACCACGAACCTGCCTTGTAATCAAGTCGGGAGTTGGGACCTATGTAGGGGACTTTGCGACCCTTGTAGTATCCTTAGTTCATGCGCAACTGGTGCCGGTTGCGCGGCAGCAAATCATCTGTACAGTGTGCAGGCGTACTGCTGATGCTTTTTTTAATGCGTAGCCCGGTTAAAATATTTCACCATCCGTGATATCCGGAGACGTCCACGTTTCAGTGTTAACAGGTATGTCGGGACGAGTTTAGCCTGCAAGTAGACCCAACTCTTGCACCTTGTTCCCTAGGCTACGCAAATTGCCATATATTCGCTGTAGGAACTCGGAACAACCAGACCTAGGCTGTGCGCGACACGGATGGGTTCTGGTAGGGTAGAAATTGACCTCCGCCTGACCATCTGAAAACTCACAACACGGAAGCCTTGTTCACCAGTCTCCCACCTATTTTTGAGGTCTTTGTTGGCTTCCTTCAACTTCAGCCTGTCTACCAGGGAAAGATCAAATTAATTGCCGACATTACTACCTTTGATTTTGAATGCAAAACACAGCAAGGCTTTGCGTTCCTCCCGGGTAAAAAGTGTCATGCGAAGTAGTCGGTGTCGCTATTTTAACGTACCGATAGGTATGTTTCCCATTCTAGTCAGCTTTCTAACAGTGACACCAGGTGGAAGCAGCTTGTTGACGCACAGCTTGAACCATCGAAGGTCATCCATCATGCACTCCATAGGAAGAGTTGCCGTACATTCAGCTACGATGCTATCCGTAAAAGTACCGTCTCGATTAGGCGTATTTACTTCACGAGTTTTCGACTTGATATCGGACTTCACCGAAGGTGACACGGTGGATCTTGTCGCCAAAGTTGCTGGGGTAATCGTGGTTGGAGGCTTATGCTTCAGCTCTAGCACCTTCACGGCTTTAGTTCCCTCAGGCTTTGCAGAGGTCTTACACATTTTCTTGGCCTATTTCTCCTGCTTTTAGTGGATACACGAGCCCTAAGTTCGGCCTCACTCTGAGCAGTATCCAAAATTCCATCAAAGGCGTCGCTAACTGCATTCTGCCTAGCTGGAGCACTCCGTACGGTAGCCGTTACCTCAGGCGGATTCTCACCGACAGCAGATGAAATTGGCTGAGTAACTGCGCCCAGTGGGCCAACATCGATTGGGACTACAAGTCTACTTTACAGTCAGATGTGAGGACAAACCACATTTGCTGGTCACTCAGCCGGATGTTGCTTGCTACTTCAAGTGTGACATCAAGACGCCCAGGTCGACGGCTGCAGCGTTCAACGCAACTGAACATTAAGCTATCGCTAGTCAACAGCACTACGTACCGGCCAAAGCTTAAGCCGGTACAGGTCTCAGGTCCCAGGAGTTGCATACCTAGCAGTTCCCCAGGACTCATCCGTCACGGGGTTTGAGCAGTCCATACCGCCACAAACAGCATTCGAATCGCTGAACAATGCAACCGAAGATACTGTAGCACCGGTGTTCTGTGAATTCCACATGACGGTTTCATGAACAGTAAAAACACAGGGGTCAAAAACGTAAACCCGTCACATTTCAACTTGCGGTGCAATCAACAGAAACAAAACGGGTTTAACAGGGTGCAAAACGGATTACAAAAGACAATAGTCAAAAACTAACCAAAGGCTAACCTCGAATAAAAAGACGACCTTGATGACTTACCCGATTACGAGTACGATATAGTCTTGGAAACTGGTGGCCCAATCATTTGGATCAAACGAGAAATGACTTGTCAAATTTTGCACGATACTCTTCTAAACGCCGTCCAAAACTGCTATTTGAAAGTAAAACCTCAAAGAACCGACACGCAAAAAGTTTCAATTTATCGCAAAAGAGGAAACATCCGTAAGTTCAGATGGATGAATGTCGATAGGACTGCTATCGTTGTTACCTCTTTTCTTTACCTTTTTGTTTCATTCACAGACATCACCCGTGCTTATTCCCACCATCCATTCAGATTAGGCTCGATCCCCTCGGCAACTGTGACAGCGGCATCCAGCTCGCCACCATGCGCTAGCCTGTCGCACATTGCATCGAGTATGACCTCTTAATAGGTAGTTTTGTTAACTTCATCTAACCATCTATCATGTATTTATTTTGTATTGCAGCCCCCAAAGGTCTGTTACGACTACGTACTCATTAGAGACGGAAGTCATTGAAATCTTCGACCGGACGCATTTTACACTCGCAACAAGTTTCCGCTTCGTGCTTTGCTGCTTTCCATCAAGAGTATCCTGGATAATTTAACACTGCTTTGACATTTGCACCGCAAAAACAAGTCACGTTATTCAGTAGATCGTCTAAAATTTATGTAATATATCGCGTAGGTACACAGTTCTTAATTTCTCACGCTACATGCGCCATCCAGCGAATAGTATGATGTTCCTCTTTCGCCATCGGAATTTACTGGTAAATATCCCGCAGGAAGTATTTCGTCGTCCTCTCTCGACTTCTGCAGATAAATCCCTTTTGTTAAAACTACGAAAAGATACCGGGTTGTCTTTCGCCGTATGTAGAGACGCCCTATTGAAGAACGCCAACGATTACAATCAAGCTTTAACATGGCTCAACGAAGAGGCTGTTCGTAGAGGTTGGGCAAAAGCAGGAAGGCTTTCAAACCGTCTTCTATCACAAGGGCTTCTCGGTGTACTTTCTGACAAGTCATGTGCTGTAATAGTGGAGGTTAACTGCGAGACCGACTTCGTCGCAAGGAATGACCAATTTCAAAATCTTGTCGCATCTATCACTGAAACTGTGATGGCCAGCTTCACAGTAAGTTACACTTAACTGACCCTGTATACCTTGCTGAATCCGGAATTAACTTTCAGAAGCGGCTGTTATCACTTTGCTGATACCATGATTACACCACTTTGCCTTATTTCATGGATACTGACTGAAATAAGGGTTTTCCATTTTCACCGGGGTCATTCGGTACTACTGCGTATCGGCAACATTTAGCCGTTTTATCCAAAGGCTTAATCCCTTCCCACACAGGTGTGTATGTCACTGTCTTTTCACCTTCTTTTGCCTGCTCCCGAGTTATTTTTTTGGTCATTTGCGTTAAGAGTGCTCTTTTGCTGGTCTTGGATTCGCCCTTGCCATGTCGAAATTAAGCCTTTAACATTGGCACTGCACAGCAGCTTCAGACATTTGTTACTTTCAGTCGGCCGACTTGAGATTTTTGTTTTTCCACTTAAGTTATTGTCTTCAAGTATTTATCACTAATTGGCTTATCTCATTTTAACACCATTGATCATTATGCTGATAAAAAGCGCTGACTGTGTCCGGAAAGTGAGGGCCGCAAGAATGGCACGGATCAACGCTTATTGCGCAGCTGATGATAAGGGTGTAATACGCGAGGTGTCGTGGCACTGGTACATCAAGTTAACTGATGTAGCTTTTTAAAACGGCACGAGTGTATGTCAAAGCAAACGGGCTTGAGCCCATCAGACTTTGACAGATACCTAATTGATCATGCTTCTAATGGCGTGTCTCGCATAGTTGGGAATAAACTTAGATAGTCATCGTCTACATGCTGGGAAAGCACTGGACGGTATTTTCAACCTGTTGCATGTTATCAGTAGTGTGCATCCATCGGATCCTTGAACGGGTCTCAATAGAAACGATTGGTTGAAATAGTAGAACAGAGAACAGGTTAACCGATGTACAAGTGGAGAGAGCCGCTATGGTGACGTCAGTTTTAACAAATCTAATGTGTCGTAGGTGGGGAAATATGGTACAAGCCTATAGGGATATGTTCATCAGCATACAATGAACAAAGATAGGTAAGGGAGACATGTATGTTAAGTATTCAAATCGTGTTCGAGTTGATACTTCATAAGAATTGATTAGACGTGTGTTCCCATAGTTCTCAGTTGGCCTGCTAATACTTCGGGGTCCGTAGCGGTGGTGGTACTCAAAAACTGGCTTAAGGAGGCGCGAAACTAATTACGTAGTACATCAAATGTTAATTGTTTTCTGTTTCACACGTATGTGTATCTGTGACAGTGGTAGCAATAACAGCCATCTGAACGGACTCCCCAAAAACGATTGCGTAAGAACATTGTAGCAGTTTTCAGGTTAAAGAGGATCAGTACCTGGTTAGCCTTTCTTCATAGGCTTCTATGTGGACATAGAAGCCTCGAGGTCGGTGTGGCCTAATAAGGAAAGCTTATAACATCGGTCGGATGAACAAAGAAGAGGACGCGGTTTAACGCTCCTCTTCAGCTGCCTTAAGGTTAGTGGGGCCAGGCAGGAGAGGATGTGATATGGTTGGAAGAGTGGGCGTGGAAATTCGGTCTGCTTTTTTATTTAGTTATTTTGCAACAAGTGAAGCTTTTACTGTACGAGCAAGAGGCATTACGGACATGGCATTATATGTAGTAGTAGTAGTAGTAGTAGTAGTAGTAGTTGTTGTTGTTGTTGTTGTTGTTGTTATTTTTCTGAAGCCATTTTTGTTTTTTTATTTGTTTGACATTAGGTATCCAAACAAATACGTACACAGATCTGTAACTGGTTTCGATTGTGCGCCATATCCAGCATTGTTTCCAGTCATCGGCACTCCTCGTCCTTGGCATTATGTTACTTGTTCCCTTCTTATAAACCTCTGTCCCTGCAGTATTAACCTTGAAGAATTACGTAGACTTTGGAACTGTGAGAAATTTGTCTGTCTGTACACGGAACACATGACATTTGCATGATCTAATGGACAGTTCTGTATTATACTAGATAGATTGAAATTTAATAAGGTGAAAGTTTGCACTCAAGTTGGTGCGTGACTTCGCAACTGGCGGTGCGAATTTTGTTTATTACGGATAGGGTAGCGTTCCGTGTATTGTATGAAGGAGCCCATGAATTACGTAGAAAATTAGTGTCATGTTTAGCTTTATCTTACGCAACCATATCGGGTCTAGCATCAACAGTTGGCAGCGTTCAGAATATGTCAGTCTCTGAGTAGAACACAGGATGTCTTATGTAAGCACGCTGAACGCTCTCTAATGCCGCTGTCACTGCTTTGCATTGCTGAATATCATAGTGCAATCCTCTACTGGCTTGCCGAACAACCTCCTCGTGGTGCCAGCTAGGTGGTTCCGGATTATCCCGTTCCAGCGAATGGTTCGGCGGCAGTGTTCCAGCACGCGGTGGGTTCTCGCCTGGCAAGCGTTCTCCCTATAAAAAGCCACAGATGTCCGTTTAAAAACACTGTGACATGGCGGATATGACTCGCCACTAAATAAAGTCACTGCCCCTCGCGTCTCTCTGAGTGGCATTGTAATTCAAGGGTGTGTTGGGCCTCTGGTCCTATGGGTCCTAAAGGCGTATGAACCACTCGTTTGGTCACCGACTCCCAACGGGTTGTGATACCCTTGTATCGCCCTGCTGCCTTGTAGTTTAGATCCTTGACCAAAGGCTCGGGGTGGGGCCCCTGAGACCACCCTCTACTTCGGCCTGGGCAACCGGGTAGTATCTCGCCCACTGACGAACCATGGACTTACAACCACAACCATTCATCCGCTCTCTTGCTGCTACGATGCTATTCACTCATGTCACTATACCAACTGCACAAACACACGCCACCATTTTACCTACTTCTCCCTTGTACCATTCACACCCATTTTTATCTGACTCCTCTATGGCGATCAACCCCACCTACACTGCTGAACCTGTTCCCGTGACATTTGCCAACTCAACCACACAGTACTCAACAGAGAGCTGCCGGTCCCAAAGTCGCGCATCTTCGCTCCTGCAACCCGGAACGCAGTTCAAACTTGCAGCCTTCAACGTACGCACATTACTGCAGATCGGTCAGCAAGTTGGACTTGCACGCACGCCAGAGACCCTTGGAATTGATATCTGCTGCCTGACTGAAACACGACTCCAGGACTCTAACTCGGTCTACCAGTTGGTGTCACCGCTCCACCCACGCACCCGCTTCCATCTACAGCTCTCTGGTGACGCCGAGTCTGCCGCATCTGGGCAAGCTGGTGTTGGAATCGCCCTTAATGCTAGAGCCGAGACTGCTTTGATTGATTGGATTCCGATCAATAGCCGCCTTTGTGTGATGAGGCTCTATGGCTCTTATAAAGTTAGCAGACGTCGAGTCGAAAAGCGTGCTCTCTTCGTGAGCTCTGCCTACGCGCCCACTGACTGTAGCTCGGACACCGTCAAAGACCAGTTCTACCAGAACCTTCATGAGCTGCTCCTAAGGGTTCCTAAAACAGACATCATTGTTTTGGCAGGTGACTTCAACGCGCATGTCGGTATTCTGCTGCATGTGAGCGCCACCTCGGGGGACCGCATGGATATGATGATATTCGCTCAGCGACTGGAGAAAGACTGCTCAGTCTGTGTGCTGATCATCAACTATTCCTCTCCAGCACCAGCTTTCGTCATCCTGGACGCCAATACGCCACTTTGCGCCCCCCCCCCCATCATCAACCCAGCACTGATCACAGATTGACCACATTGCTATAAGTCGCAAGTGGCGCGGCAGCGTACGCGACTGCCGGTCATTTTGGTCAACATGCGTCGATACTGAACATGCACTGGTATGTGCGACCGTTTGCATGCGTTTCAGTGGTTCGCCTAGGTCAAAACACATCCGACTGAATACCTACAAGTTGGAGGACCCAATGGTGAAGAAAGAGTATCAACAAAGGCTTCGTGAAAATCTCGCTCTCTCTCACACTCTGGATGTTGAGCAACACTGGTCAAATCTGCAACAAGCCTTGCTGTCGGCCGGTTTGTCCGGCTGTGGCCTCGTTCGCTCCACTCTCAAAAGCTGGATCTCTGGAAGATCCTCGGAATTGCTGGATCTCCGACGGGCGGTGCCTGCTGGCGCAGAGTACAACGAACATCGCCGGTCTATTACGCAACAGCTGAAAGCAAGCTTTCGTTCTGATCGTGAATCTTGGTGGTCAAAACAAGCTGATGAGATGGAAGCCGCTGCATCAGCTCGCAACTTCCGCCGTCTGTTTTACATTCTCAGGACCATTGGTTGCAATTTTCACGCTATCAGCCAAACGATTTGCGTATCAGACGGCACGATTAGGTTGCTGGGAAGAGCATTTCGCTCTCCAATTCAACCACCCAACACAGCCCCATGTGACACCTCCAGCCCCAATGTATGATGCTTGGCCTATCTCCACACACCCCCCTCAAATGACGCAGAGATTCGAAATGCAATCCAATCTTTGCAACACCGCAAGGCTTCGGGTCCCGACAACCTACCACCGGCTCTATTCAAAGATGGCGGGGGTGTACTTGTCAGCGAAATCCTATCGCTGTTCACAAGATTTTGGACTGAGGAGAAGGTTCCGAACGCATGGGGAGTATCGGTCATTGTTCCGATTCACAAAAAGGGCTCACGCGCCGATTGCTGCAATTACCGTGGAATCTCGTTAATCTCTGTCGCATCCAAAATCTTCGTGTCGGTCCTACTTAGCATGCTTTCAACGACTAGAGAGGAGTTTTTTCGAGAAGAACAATCCGGATTTCGTCCAGGCCGCGGCTGCATCGACTAAGTCTTCACGCTTCGGCAAGTTCTCGAACTTCGTCACATCCATCGGCGGCCAACAATCGTAGTGTTTTTGAACATCCGAGCGGCATTTGATTCAGTGGATAGATCTGCGTTGTGGAACTGTTTACTGAAGAAAGGTGTGCCCGAGAGGTTTGTAACTATCCTGAAAGCACTTTACGGTCACACGTCGGGCAAAGTCAGGGCTTACAGCATGCACTCTTCTTCATTTGCTGTGACCAGCGGTGTTCGCCAA